AATAAATAAATGAAAAGTTAAAAGTGTATTATATTATATGCTAAAGAATAAGAGATTATTGTATATACTAAATAGTATATACCACCTCATGTAACATACCACTAATATTTGTCCATCAAACAAACCAACCAACGGTAACAACTGTTTTGGCCATACTCTGTTGTACAAGAACTGACACAGAACCCACGCCCCAAATACCAGTTTCTTCTAGTGGGATTCAGTTCATCATCTCTTTAACATAGAAATCGTTTAGCAAACTCGAGCTCGACATTCTTTAAGCACGGCTCGAAAGTCGAACATGAACTGATTAACTTAATCATTGCAGGAAACCGAAAAGAAAAAAAGACGTTCGATTTAAAAATATTTTGCTTGATGCATCGATGTAAATTAAAGTCCTAGTTGTCAAGTTTTTCGGGTTCTACTTCTTGTCAAAGGGCCACTACGAACTACAACTTCCGCATTACTGCCACCTGTCGTACTCTGTTCAGCATTTACCTTGTTTCGCTTTAAGGGTGTTTCGGTACTTTCTCTCAGCTGAGAACTCTCTTTTCTTGCACTCGATGCTCCACTGCGGTGAAAAAAATCATCGTAATTTGTTTTCATTGTATCGTCAAAATTATCCATGTTCGGCACACTGGTCGTGTGATCTGCTGGGCCAGGTGTTTTACAAGCATCGGAACAAGAAAACCCTTTCGAAACAGATACTGCAGCAAATTCTTCCCAATAATATGGAAACCCAATCAGAAAATCGTCGCTTACCTGTCAAAAGAATTTCAACTTATCTGAATCGTAATGCCACATAAATTATCAAAGAGTGAGTCATGAATACAAATATAAAAAAATATTAAAACCTCGCGAGGGAAGCCATTTTCAAGTGTGCGAGACCTATTGAGATTTCCATGGAGCAAGATCGTTATGCCATCATCAGTCTCGAGAGTAACTGCATCGTGTCTCTTGATTATGGGTGCAGAAGAGAAACTTCTTATGCCTCGGCTCCTTCATTAATCAAATAAAAAAACCGAAGAATTCAAATAGGGGACAAGAAATTTTGCATCCAAGTCCAATATTTAACCAGAACGTACGTGACCGGAGCCACAATAAAGAACTCGAGTGGATGAAAAATCTGCATATTTATTGTATAGCGCCGCATTAGACGACACGTCATTCAAATTGACAATTGATTAAATTGGATACGTGTTAGTTTTTCGTACAATGATTTTGCAGACAGACAATCACCGATGATGCATTGCAAGCTGAATTAGTGATTAGGGCACTCCAATCAAGCTCAAACGACACACTGCGTTTATAAATGCTGCTAAAAAAGAGCCTATTCGAGACGTGTGTCGTCTCGCCCACGTTTGTCAAATCAACCAACATCTATTTTGAACTGTTGCTTGAATCACTATAGGCTGAAGCATTTAGGAGCTAAAGATTTCCAATATATAATAACAAATCTATATGGATTGCTTAGGAAATTTCACATCAAAAATTCAAATCCATTTGCTCAACATCAAATCCCTATATCCAAACCCTAATTTGAATTGAAAATCCATCGGCGCAATCAAAAATTGAAAGCGAAGGGAGTGAAAAAATTACTCTCTGTGATTGAAACCTCCAACGCTTAATTCTTTGCCATGAGAAACCGAATCAGATTTAACCAGCCACCAGTCGTGCAGAGAAACCTGCAAGAAGACCACCATTGATTGAACATCTGCCCAACCATCACGATGACAAAATTAAAAATAAAATAAAAAGAGGGGAAAGTCGAACTTGCTTAGAGAGGAGAGAATGTATGGCGGTATTGGGGGTGGTGGAAGGAGTTGAGCGGTGTTTCCGGCTACGATCTCGGCGAATGAGAGCTTCGGCTGGGGTTTCCATGAGCGCCGGCTGGAGAAGACGATGACTGATACTGGAGAAATGAGAGACAAAAAAAATAATATAGCAATTTTTTTAAAAGTATTTATATATTTATATTTTGGAAAATAATTTGAATTTCTTGAACTATTTCTTTTATATATTTTTTCAATTATAATCCTATTTTCTTTTTCTAAAATTGAAAATTGTAGTTTTGAATATCGGTTATGAATTGGCGTCAGAGAAGCCGGGACCAGTGGATACGAGACGGAGACCGTAATACCAAGTATTTTCACCGAAAAGCCACTGTGAGGAAACGTCGTACCTGGGTCCACAAAATTAGAGATGAGACAGGAGGTTGGCTTGATAGGCGAGAGGAGATAGAAGGGGTGATTGCTCGTTATTATGCGGATTTATTCAGCTCGACTAATCCATTTGAGAGAGCGATTGATGAGGTTCTGGAACACTTCACCTGCTTTCCCTCCCATTCTCAGCCGATGAGGTAACCCGAGCCATTTCCCAAATGCCCCCTTTAAAAGCCCCTGGTCCTGATGGTCTCCCGGTTTTATTTTTTAAAAAAATATTGGAACATTATTGGTTCTTTTGTTCTAGATTGTGTTCTCAAATTTCTTAACCACAAGATCCTCCCTCTAAGCTTTAATTCCACCTTTCTTGTTTTAATCCCGAAAGTTAATAAACCTGAAAGTATGACTCAATACAGGCCGATTAGTCTTTGTAATGTTATCTATAAATTCGGGTCTAAATCAATAGCCAATCGTATTAAAACGGTGTTGAGTAAAATCATATCCCGACCCAATCGGCTTTTGTACCCCACCGGCTTATAACCGATAATGTTCTGGTTGCCTATGAAATCAATCATTACATTAATATTAACCTTAGCAAACGGTCTAGGTATATGACGCTAAAATTAGATGTTAGTAAAGCATATGATCGAATTGAGTGGTCTTATCTCCGAAAGATTTTAATGTGCATTGGTTTCCCTCTTGGTCTCGTTGACTTGATTATGCTTAGCGTTTCATCTGTGTCGTATTCATTTTTGTTTAACGGCTCGCAGTGTGATTCTTTAAAGCCTTCTTGGGGATTGCGCCAAGGAGACCCTTTGTCACCGAACCTGTTTATTTTATGTACCGAGGGCCTAATTGCTTTGCTGAAATGGGCAACAGATAAGGGGGATCTCACTGGAGTTCGGATTGCCCCGGCTGCCCCTATTGTTTCAAGCTTGTGCTTCGCGGATGACACGGTTATATTTAGCCAAGCTACACCCTTGAACGCCCATACCATTAAGCAGATTCTCACGAAGTACGCAGAAGCCTCAGGACAATTGATCAACCTCGAGAAGTCTACTATGGCATCCTGCCCATCTACGAGCCTAGAGCAGCAAACGAAGATCCTATCCATTTTGGGATTCCAATTGGTCGAAAAACATAACAAATACCTGGGCTTGCCGGCGGCAATGGGTAAGTCGAGGAAGGAAATATTTAGTTTCTTACGGGACCGAGTGTGGAGTAAAATTAAGGGATGGAATGCTATCCTACTATCGAAGGCAGGAAAAGAAGTGTTAATTAAGTCAGTCCTTCAATCGGTTCCCACATATGTTATGTCATGTTTTATGCTTCCTAACGGACTGATTCAAGAGATTGAAGCTGCCATTCGTCATTTTTGGTGGGGTAACGTGGTGGGCCGAGCCATGGCCCGGATGAAATGGAATAACTTATGCCGCTCGAAGGAGGACGGAGGACTTGGGATTAGAGACCTTTATAGTTTTAACTTGGCACTTCTCGCCAAACAGGTGTGGAGGCTTATCAAGTTCCCAAATTCACTCTTGTCAAGAATTCTTAAGGCTCGTTATTTCCCCGGGGCGATGTGTGGGGAGCTAACATTGGGAGCCGTCCTTCGGCTACGTGGAAAAGTTTAGTTAACGCTCGTCCCTTTCACCGAATTGGAGATGGGGAAGGCACTTCCATTTGGTGCGACCCATGGTTAGTTGGTGAAGGGCAGCCGTACGTTCTCACCCCGAGACCTATAGAATCTGTCTTTCCCAATTCAGTAAGTGATCTTATTTTGTTTAATACTTATTCACACCAGTGGAATGCGAGGCTAGGGCTTTCCTCCAAGCTCTTATTATGGCTCAGGCAATGGGATGGAACTCGATTCAAGTGGAAGGTGACTGTCTTCAAGTGGTCAATGCTTTCAACAATAAAGAAAACTCAGTGTGTACTTATGGTGCTATCTTGCATTTCTTTGTCTTTTGATGCATGTTTATTTTCTTTTGTTAAGAGACAAGGCAATTAATTCCCTTGCTCACTCTTTAGCCTCTTTGACAATTGTTTACTCCCTTCTCATTTGGCCATGGGTGCCTAATCTTAGTGATCGTACGTATTTATCCTAAAAAAAAAATATCGGTTATGAATTAGATTTATTTTTTAACTTCTTAATTTTTATTTTTCACATATTTGTCTTAGGAAATATGGGGCTTCATACCACACTTCATTTGTTTATTGGACTTTCAGCAAATACAAGGTGGATCGACACCGATCCAATTGTTAAAAGTTGTCAACTTTGTTACATCCGATTTATTTCTAATTAAATTTAATGCAAATCCGACCCATATATCTTTAACAAAAGTTAAAATATAAAATTTATTAATTTTTGTGTTTAATTTCTAATTCAACTTGAATTAACTAAGATTAGATATCGAGTAAGAATTACGCACTAATGAACGAACATTAAAGTATACTATTTTTTTTTTTAAAGAAAATATGCTTCTGAATTATTTTTGCTACAATTTCTTATGTTCAATTTAATTAATGCTAATCCTTGAATATTGCAAACCCACCCTCCGTAAATGTACGACCATTGGAACTTAGACCATCAATGTAAAATTCCCAAAATACCCCCACTACATACAATTAATTTCAAACCACCCCACACACGTTACAAGTCTCATTGTGCCATTTATTTTTAATTCCTAGGAAATATATTAGCCTTCGCTTCTCTCTCTCTCTCTCTACATCTCTCTCATCTTTCTCTCTCCTCTCCTCTACTACTAATTAATTTCGATTTTACCCTACCAATTTCTTCGTATACCCTCTTATTATCTCTCGTCTCTCGCTCATCCAATTTCCCTTTTATTATTTTTTTATAAATAAATAATAAAATCTGGTCACTCACACATACCATCAATCTCCAAGAATTCCCCTTGGTACTTTTTTTTATCAAATCCATAGTCAAATTCACAGAAAAAAAAAAAAATTGACACACCATTTTACCCAAATCAGCCCAGAAAAAAATCGTTGATCCCCCACAGTTCATAAGGTACATTACCTACAATTAAATTGTCTGCTGTCTGTAATTTTATCTTTGGCCTGTATTTGTCTATACATAACTATATGTATCTATATATCTCTATGTGTCACATATATTTCATGGCAGCATTTGTGTAGCACTACCATGACCTAGTAGAGTTCTTTCTCTCTCTCTAAAAAGCCCCAATTAAATAAGACAAACTGAATCAAATCTGTTTCTTAGGTTAATTTCAATTGGTTTTCTGGTAATGATTTTCACATTTCAATTGATTGTAATTTGTAACCCTAGATGTTTGTTAGCCATGGGTTTTCATTGCGTTTGGGTTTATCTCTGAATAATTACATGATGGGATTTTTTTATATTTAATTTCAAATTGAGATAGGGTTTTAAACATTTTCAATTTTAATTAGGGTTTCAAATTTCAATTTGAGGGTTTTTTTTTTCTTTTCAATTTTGGGAAATTATAAACCCTTCAAAGGACATGCATTGATTACGATTTTCCTACAAGGGGATCGCCGTTCGTCGTAGCGCAGGCTGCAGAATCCGCATTTAATTTATTGCACAGAACATTTTTTTCGTGGTAAAGCGGGCGTGATTATCGAAGATTCTTGTCACTTTTTTTCCAGATTTAAGGTGGCATAGTTTTTTGTTCGATCTCTCCCTTTTCGATTACTTATGCCGTAGACCGGTGTATATATGTATCCGTGTTTGTGGAATGTGTATGATTTTATTGCTATGAGCTGTAGGAAATTAATTGTTAAACACTATTATTATTAATGGAAAATATGACTTAATCGGCATATCTACATTCGATCTCCATATCGTTGTTTTTTAATCTATCTTAATAATCTAGCTTTTATACTTAATGCAATTAATTTTTCAAAACTCTGAATTTTCTTTTATTTTCTTATTTTTAGTTTGGCTTAAGCTGCCATTAAATTTAGCGTTGAATGATGGAAACGCTTCCATGTTCTGGTGCTCGTCGCATTGAAGAATCTGATGCAGAACCAGTCAGAAGCGATCTCAAAGTCGATGATTTAATAACAATTGACGTTGGAGAATCCCATGATGTAAGAGAGGGTGAAGGTCACTTGATTTTCGAGGGTTTCCCTGCTCTAGAAGAAAACTCTAATGTGGATGCGTACGATGAATTTGAAGTTGACGGTCAAAATCTCTCGTGTTACTCCCATGATTCTGGAGACGACAATTTAGACAAAAACGATGATTTTGCAGGGCCTGAACTTACATTAGAAAGCTCTCACTTAGTGTTGGAAACAATCGAAAGTGAACTGCTAAATAATAATCAGGAGGGTTCGTCGCATCCCGAAATCAAAAGCCTAGAACGAGACGAACCTCAAGCAGTTTGGGTAAAGGTATATATGCTACTTTATGCTTCTAAAATACTAAAAAAAATTAATGTTGTTCGCCCGAGAAATAATGGCTGATAATTATGTTTTACGACTTGTAGTGGAGAGGGAAATGGCAATCGGGTATTAGATGTGCGAGGGCTGATTGGCCATTAGCAACTTTGAAAGCGAAGCCGACTCATGACAGGAAACAATATCTCGTTATATTTTTTCCCCGAACGAGAAATTATTCATGGGCAGATGTTTTGTTGGTCCGTCCAATCAATGAATACCCGCATCCCATAGCATATAAGACACACAAAGTCGGTGCGAAGATGGTGAATGATTTGACTCTTGCTCGTCGATTTATCATGCAGAAGCTGGCTGTGAGCATGCTAAATATTCTCGATCAATTGAACCGTGAGGTTTGCTTCTGAGTACAGACACATATATTTATGGTTTGTGAACACATATTTATGGTTTGTGTTTTATTAAGATGTTTTTGTGGCAATCTAGGCTTTGGAAGAGATGTCTCGTAATGTGATGGTTTTAAAGGATTTCGCAATGGAGGCTTCTCGATGTAAAGACTATTCTGACCTTGGAAGGATGCTTTCGAAACTTCAAAACGTAAAATTTCCCTCCATTTCAATATTATAGGTCTTTTATGCTAAATTTAAATGAGCGCGGTTCATCTGATACAATAGAGAAATAAAATTGAAGTTCTTCCAGCATCTTCGATAGTGTTTGATTGTCTTATTTTTTTTGTTTTTTAATATTTAATATTTAACTTTTATTCTCCAGATGATACTGCAGCGGTGCATAACTTCAGATTGGATTCACCAGTCTATGCAGAGCTGGAAGCAACGATGTCAAGACGCAAATAGCGCTGAATGCATAGAATTGCTCAAAGAGGTACTTATAAAAATTTATTTTTTTCTGTTCTGAGTGTCGTTTTAAAGTTTGATTGTGTTGATCTTGAAGAGAAATTTATTAGTTCTTCTAACAAAATTGGAAAATTGCTATAAACCTGTGTGGTTATTTCGATTTTGATTTGATTTCTAACTAGTTTTCTACAACTTCAACTTCGATTATTTTCTTGTTCAGGAATTGACCGACTCCATCTTGTGGAACGAGGTAAATTTACCATCAGGCGAATCAGCACAGGCGGATCTTGGATCTGACTGGAAGAGTTGGAAACACGAGGTCATGAAATGGTTCTCAGTTTCGCATCCTATATCAACTGCTGTGGACTCGGACCAACCGAAGAACGATAGCCCGTTGACCACCGGACTACAGTTGACCAGGAAGAGGCCTAAGCTCGAGGTTCGCCGCCCCGATGCACACGCCTCTAGTTCACATCAATCTGTTTCTGTCGAAACCGACTCAGCATATTTTAATGGATATTCTCAGAATCTAAAAAGTAATCCGATTGAGGACACTGTTGTGGGACCATCGCCTAGTGGTGTAGTTAGTAAATTGAGCGATATATTCGTTGCGGCTGGAAATTCGGAGCTGACTCCTCGTACTGTTGTCACTCAAAGTCACAATCGACAGTGCGTAGCTTTTATTGAATCTAAAGGAAGGCAGTGTGTGAGGTACGCTAGTGAAGGAGATGTTTACTGTTGTGTGCATTTATCCTCTCGTTTTGTTGCGAGTTCTGTTAAAGTTGAAGCAACTTCGTCTGTTGACTCACCGATGTGCGGAGGTACAACGGTTCTTGGTACTAAATGCAAGCACAGAGCTTTAGTCGGTGGTTCTTTCTGCAAGAAACACCGACCCCACGATGGGAAAAATACAATATCTCCTGTTAATAAACTCAAAAGAAAAATCGAGGAGAATCTTATGTATACAGGGACTAGAATCGATGAAAGTCCTGTTCATATAGATCCTCTGTTGGACGTTAGAGAATATTCTATCCAAGAAAACAGCATGAGCGAGCCACCTCAGCAAGTTCGGAGTGGTGCTGAGGTGGCGCAGTGCATAGGATCGTGGCCCCACGGTGGGGGCGTAGAAGAACCCTGTCTTGAAAGTCCTAAAAGGCATTCACTATACTGCGAGAAGCATATTCCGAACTGGCTTAAACGTGCGAGAAATGGAAAGAGTAGGATAATTTCCAAGGAAGTGTTCATCGAGATTCTGAAAAATTGTCACTCGAGGGAGCGGAAATTGCAGTTGCATCAAGCTTGTGAACTCTTTTACAGGCTTTTCAAAAGTGTGTTGTCTTTGAGAAATCCTGTGCCTAAAGACGTTCAGTTTCAATGGGCCATTACGGAAGCTTCCAAAGATGCTAGAGTAGGTGATTTTTTAATGAAATTAGTGTCGAGTGAAAAGGAGAGGTTAAAGAAGCTATGGGAGATTGAAGACGGTCAAGCTAAGTCAACCGTTGAAGAATTAGTTCCGATTCCGGTTCAGACAACTAATGACATCAGCGATAATCAAGAAAATGACATAAAGTGCAAAATATGCTCGGAGGAGTTTCTTGATGATCAAGCACTCGGAACTCACTGGATGAACAGCCATAAGAAAGAAGCTCAATGGTTATTTAGGGGCTACGTTTGTGCAATTTGCCTCGAGTCTTTTACTAATAAGAAGGTTCTAGAAGCTCACGTGCAGGAGAGGCACCACTCGCAGTTTGTCGAGCAGTGCATGCTTTTACAGTGTATTCCATGCGGCAGCCATTTCGGTAATCCAGACGAGTTATGGCTGCACGTGCAATCAATTCATCCTCGTAATTTAAGGTTGTCTGAACAGAAAGAGGAGATTTTGGCAGAACAAACGAAACCCGAAAATCAAAATTCGGTTAATCGGAGATTTATTTGCAGGTTTTGTGGGTTGAAATTCGATTTGCTACCTGATCTTGGCCGCCACCATCAAGCTGCTCATATGGGAGCTCAAAACTCGACTGGCCCTCGTCTGACAAAGAAGGGTATTCAATTTTACGCGCGTAAACTGAAGTCGGGCAGACTAACTCGACCACGGTTTAAAAAGGGTTTAAATTCAGCAGCATCGTACAAAATCAGGAATAGAAGTGTCCAGAATTTGAAGAAACGAATTCAAGCATCAAACTCTATCGGCAGCCCGATTGAGATTGCGGTTCAGTCTGCTATACCCGAGACTTCCACTCTCGGCCGACTGGCCGATTCTCAATGCTCGGCTATTGCGAAAATATTAATTTCGGAAATTAAAAAAACAAAACCACGGCCGAGTAGTTCGGAAATCTTATCGGTTGCCACCTCAGCTTGCTGTAGGGTGAGTTTGAAAGCCTCGTTGGAAGTAAAGTACGGAACCTTGCCTGAAAGTCTGTACTTGAAAGCGGCGAAACTATGCAGTGAGCATAATATATTAGTTCAATGGCATCGAGAGGGGTATATTTGTCCTAAAGGATGCACATCGAGTTTGATGTCAACAATTTTGTCTCCATTATCGGAGAATCCATTTAAGGCGAGATCTTCTGTTCAGACATCATATCCTATGAATTCGGAATGGACAATGGATGAATGTCACATTGTTATTGATTCGCGACATTTTTCAATGGATCTTTCCGAGAAAAATATTGTTTTATGTGACGATATAAGTTTCGGAAAGGAATCGGTTCCCATTGCTTGTGTGGTGGATGAAAACTTTTTGAATGGACAAATTAGTGAGTATTCTTTCCCATGGGAAAGCTTCACTTATGTCACAAAGCCGTTGCTCGATCAATCCCTTGTTCTTGAAACAGAGGTATCTTCACTTATTTATTTATTTTTATTTTCTTCATTTTAATATTTCTACTCCATTGATTCTTTTTAAGTATAAATAAATGATTTATGAATTTTGATTGACAGAGTTTGCAATTGGGTTGTGCTTGTGCAAATTCGACGTGCTCCGCTGAAACATGTGACCATGTGTATCTATTTGACAACGATTACGAAGATGCAAAAGATATTTACGGAAAGCCCATGAACGGAAGGTTTCCCTATGATGAGAGGGGTCGAATTATATTGGAGGTACAGACCATATTTATTCTCTTCCTTTCTTTTTACCTCAAACAATTTCGATTACCCTCTGCCATTTTTGCTTTATCCGATTGGTAATAAATAGAGAAAAGTTTGGATAAAATGTAATTTTTTTTTTGAATAATTGTCAGGAGGGATATTTAGTTTACGAGTGCAATCAGAGGTGCTGCTGTGGTAAAGCTTGTCGAAACAGAGTTTTGCAGAATGGAGTGAAAGTGAAATTGGAAATTTTTAAAACGGATAAAAAGGTAAAATGAGTACATCTATTAGATATCTTCGATTTCTTGAAATTTAAATGATGAATTTATAAGGTATATTCTTTTTTTTCCCCTGATTTCTACTACAGTACTTAATTTAAATTACCATTTTGCCATTAGGGTTGGGCTGTGAGGGCGAGACAAGCAATTCCTCGAGGCACCTTTGTGTGCGAGTATATTGGGGAGGTTATAGATGAAACCGAAGCAAACGAGAGACGAAATAGGTTTTGATTTTAATTGTGTATTTGTACGATATTAATTATGTTTAATTTCTTTTACTAGATTGGAATGTATCGTGAATTTTGTTTTTCTTGGGAAACGCAGATATGATAAAGAAGGATGCAGATATTTTTACGAGATTGATGCCCACATCAATGACATGAGTAGATTGATCGAAGGGCAGGTTCCTTACGTAATTGATGCCACTAATTACGGAAATGTTTCGCGTTATGTTAATCACAGGTGACGAAATTATTATTATTTATGCACACCGAAACTTATTAATTTCTTTGATTAATATTTAATCTCACAATATTATTTTATACGGTTGATAGTTGCTCGCCAAATCTTGTGAATCATCAAGTTCTCGTAGAAAGCATGGATAGTCAGCTTGCCCACATTGGTTTCTATGCGAGCCGAGATGTAAGAACCCTTACATTTTTCCTTAAAAACATTATTTAGGACAAATGTCAGCATAAATCAATTTTTTTACTTTGAAATTTATTAATTATCTTCTACTTGTAAAACATTATTATGAGCAGATAGCGTTGGGAGAAGAATTGACTTACGATTTTCGTTACAAGCTATTAACCGGAGAAGGAAGCCCTTGTCTATGTGGAGCTTCTAATTGCAGGGGAAGGCTTTATTAACCTCCGATTTTTGCTCTAACCTAGGTCGTCTGTGTAATAATGTACATCTAATTTTTAGTATTAATGTAGATTATATTTTTATTTACTTTTAATAAATATTCTAAAGGAGAAGAAATATGTTAAGTCTATTGGGAAGTGATATGATCAAAATGAATTTTATTACCTTGAATTGATCTATTTTTCCCACACTATTTTTTCAACTCAAATTAAAAAAAAAAAAAAATGTTCTACACAGTTTTTTTTTCTTTTTTTTTTTTTTTTTTTTTTGTCGTTAAGGTTGTCTTTAGGGAGGGCAATAGTGTAAATTTGAATCGATTGTAGCATGCCTAAAGCAGCTTGCTGGAAGTAACCTGTCAGATAAAATGGTCCTTTTTTTTTGATTTTTTTTTTTATATTATTTATTTATTTATTTATTATGCATTAAATTTAAATATCTAGTGAGCTTTGAATTTTATTGATGTGGAAGATGCTGATGTGGTCCAATGCCTCAACTGGGCTAGTTGATTGTAGGACTCCTAATCATTGCCTTCCTTTTCAATTGTAATTTTTAGATTAATTTCTATTTCAAATAATTATTTATTTATTTTTTCTTAATATAGTTTATTAGCTAGGGGCTGAATTTCAACAAATAGATAAAATATATATAAGGGACAAAAGATGTACTAAGATTTATTATTATTATTAATATTAATATTTTTTTAAATAATGAGAGAAAAATTAGGTCACAATCTTGACATTCGAATGAGGGGAATTAATAGCAATAAATAAATAAATAAGTGATAATAAAAATAGTGATAGCAGCAAACAAGACAAGAAAAGCATTCTCAAGTGTTGGGAATCCCAATGAAGGCCTGGTCCTATTTTTATGGTCCACAGTCAGAATAAAAAATGCCGCCCACCACCAATTTATTTCACACATATTTACTACAACATTTCACAATTTATCACAACACAATTATCATAATTATGTTTCTCTCTTTTTTTTTTCTTTTCTTTTTTCTAATTCATAAAAGAAAAAAAAATCGAAAATCATATTATGTGTCATTTTACGAAATAATGAACAAGAATTTTTCTTTTAATTTCTCGATTATGTGTCATTTTACAAAATTACGTGTAGGTGCAGAAAAGCAAACGAAAAACTTATTTGACAAAATACACCTTCT